AGACAAAGGATTTGAGCTTCAGCTTCAGTATTTGACTATGCAGTGCATAGCCTGTATTAATTTCCTTAAGTATTGTAAAAATACTGAGTAAGAAGAAAGTAAAGAAGGTTAAATTTTCCACTTGCAGCTTGGATCCTTTCCCCTTCCCTTTGGGAGCCGCACTGATCATTCCCTTGCTATCTTTAATTTCATCTTAAGAACTGATTCCTTCCCTGAGCTGTACAAAGATGCTCAGGTTTACCCTATGCTTAAAATGATCCTCTTGTTCTTACCATTCCCTTATGGTACAATACTACGTTTCTCCTCACTCTCATTGCTTAATTCCTAGAAAGAGTAATTTATATTTGCTGTCCCTATTTCTACACCAACCATTAATTTCTTAACCTCTTGAAAATTCACTGCTTAACTGAAATTGCTCTCTCAATGACCCCTTAATTGCTAAATCCAACAGTCCTCATCACCCTTGACCTTTCTGCAGCTTTTGAAATTGCTGTTTTTTATGATTTCCTGGTTTTCAGAATATTGCTCAGTTTTATACATGTATATTTAGGCATAAAATTGCATTTTTATATAATGTTTCTTTCTATCTTATATATTTTACCTATTTAAAAACATTATTCAGAGAAGGGATCCATGCTTCACCCAACAATCAAAAGGACCCTTAACACAAAAAAGGTTAAGATATGTGGACTAGACATTTTAAAATAATACTAAGATCAGGTTTTATGTTCAGTGTGAAATAAAATAGCAGGTACTTGATAATACTTGATGAATTGGATTTAAGATCAAATTATAAAAGTATAAATCCATTAAAGCAAATTTACTATTCACAAATTGATGATGATTTTTCTTTATTAAATGTCTTAATTTCTCTTTCATCAATGAAAAAATACATTGTATTACTGAATATACAAAGTAATAAGATTTCATCCTCTCTCTTTTTGAATAAATACATTTTTAATTTTTCAAAATAAAATTTAAAACTCAATAGCACTCTGATCTAAGCCACCACTTCAGAAATGTAACTGTCTTATGAATAAGCTGTCATTTTAAACTAATTGGAACACCAGTTATAAACATAACACAGTAATTAAATTACTCACTAATTTGGATGTAGCATCACAAAGGGTACATAAAAGGAACAGACATAAATCAAGAAAATTTCTAGATTTTAATGATGCTTCTTTTTATGGGGATAAGCAACAGTTAAAATTTATTTTATATCCCAATTAAGAAAGATAAAATCATATACAATTTGCCCCTGCTGAGAATGAAAGTAAATCAATTTAGGATCATTTCCTATTTTATCTATACAAGGAAAATAAAGCTTTCATAATGTTGAGTGAAAACTTATTTATTCAACTATAAGAACTGGAGGAAAGTAAAAACGATTAGCATTCAAGTACTGGAATGGAAATTTGGACCTCAAGAAACTAATAATAATGATGATGGCTAACATTTATATAGCATTTACTAGGTACCAGGCATTGTGCTAAGTGCTTTACAATCATTATATCATTTGATCCTCAAAACACATGAGATACTATTATTTATCCCCATTTTACAGATGAGGAAACTGAGGCAAACTGAGGTTAAGTGAATTGCCCAGGATCACACAGCTAATAAATGTGTGAGGCAGGATTTGAACTCAGGTATTCCTAACTCCACCCCCAGTGCTCTATCCACTGCAACACCTACCTACCCCATAACTATCTACTATGAAACTAAAACACAGACATTTCTATCAATGCAACCAGTGAAGAGGATGCCAACTAGCAATAAAACAGAGGATAGGTAGCTAAGTCCCACAGTGAATAGAGCACTAGGTTTGGAATCAGGAAGACTCATCTTCATGAGTTCAATACTGCCCTCAGATACTTACTAGCCATATGACCTCGGCCAAGTCACTTAACCCTGTTTGCCTCAGTTCCTCTTCTGTAAAAATGAGCGACAGAAGCAAATGCAAACCACTCCAGTATCTTTGCCCAAAAAGAGCCCCAAAATGGGGTCACAAAGAATCAGACACAACTGAAACAAATGAACAACAACAAAGCTTTGTGAGGTGGTTCACTATGCCCTGAAGTAAATCTCTGCATCTTCATAACTACTTATTATACTTGTCAAAATTCAATCTAATCCAACAAATCTCTACTAAATGCCTCCCATGGGAGACCCTTGAGGGAGACAAGCAGATGTGAGACATGGCCCCTACCCTTATGGAATGCACAGCCTAGTAGAGGGATGACATATAGACAGATAACAAGAAGAAGTATTTATGATATGGCTAGCATATTTAACGTGCTATGCTGGGCACTGAGGAGACAAAGACAAAGGCAAGGCAAGAAGCGTTGATTGATCACTTGCTATGTAGTCAGGCACTGCCCTAAGCACTAGAGATACACATACACGCAAAAAGAAATAGGGTCCCTGACACAATACTTGCCCTCAAGGAGCTTACATTCTAATGGGGGAAGACAGCATACAAAAGGGAGCTGGAAATCAGGAACCGTGAAGAAATGAGAGGGGGGGAATGGTGACAAAATCCATGGAGTCCGAAGCCCAGCTGAGAGAGAAATAAAGTATGGCCAGTCTGGAAGTTGTCCCCAAAATGGAAGCCCTGAAAGGACCTTACTAATGGGAAAAGGGGGATCACAAAAAAAGCATTTATTTATAAATACTTTTTGAAGTTTGCAAGGCACTTTACAAATACTATCTCATTTTATCCTTACAACCCTGGAAGGTGGGTGCTATTATTATCCCCATTTTATAGTTGAGATTACTGAGGCATGCAAAGTTCAAGTGATTTACCCAAGGTCACACAACTAGAAAGTGTCTGAGGTCAGATTTGAATTCCAGTCTTCCTTACTCCAGGTCCAGGTCCAACACATTTTATCTAGATGCTACATAGCTATCACAAAGATGAAACAGTCCCTAACCTCAAGGAGTTTACATTCTAATAGGGGGATACAAGATGCAACAAAAATAAGTAAATAGGGGAGACAACTAATAATTGGAAGGATTAAGAAAGGCCTCACTTAGGAAGTATTGCCAGAGATGAACCTTTAAAAAAGCAGATTTTTAGAACACAGAAATGAGGAGTAATGGCTACTTCTAAGTCTTTAGAAGCAGTTATTAGCACAGTGGATAGAGCACTGAGTCTGGAGTTAGAAGATCAGAGTTCAAATGTATTAGCTGTGTGATTGTGGGCAAAGCATTTAACTTCTGTTTGCCTCATTTTCCTCAGCTATAAAATGGAGATGATAGTAGCACTTACCTCACAGGTTTTGTGAGGATCAAATGAGATAATATTTGTAAAAAGTGCTTAGCACGGTGCCTGGCACATAGTAGGTACTATATAAGTCCTCTTCTCCTTCCCCTTTAATAAGTGCTTAAGAGTGCTATACTCTATAAAGTTCACTTAAATTTGTCCAAAAATAAATGTAAATGGAATGATATATCTACTAATCTGAATCAAAAAAAAAAAAGAAAATGAAACAGAGACTCATCTCAAACTATTTATTAAAATAGGTGAAATCCTCTTATTGTGAATAATAAGAGTGCATGATACCCAATATCACACTTTGTCTTCCTAAGCCAATAGGAAATACCTGTGGTCAAACACTAAAACCTCATAGTACTTAAAAAGTGAAATTTTCTATCCTGAAATGGGTTACACTATTCAGTGGAAGTAAGTGAAAATGAAAAGCAGTCAACAATATTGCTATAAAAATCCCTATGGTATGTTAAGTAATAACAAGAATAAGCCTAGATGGGGAAATATTACCCCATTATACACTAATTGCTACTGTAGTTGATTTCCTCAACCAGTAATTATGGTTTTCATCATCTGACAGGAGGCAGTATGATCTCTATTGTAGGTACTATATAGTGTGGGCATAAAGATGTCCAATTATAATGCTAAACAGGAAGAGTAGGGGCTCATACAATTTAGGTGAATTAAATCTAAGCAGTCACTTGCACCCCTATTAAATGGTGAAATAGAAGCTAGCTACACAAGCGACAACAGTTTCTTCATTATTATGTGGTACCGTGGTGGCTACTTAGACTTCCTTGATCTCACCCAAGGTACAGTTTAAAGATTAGACATAATGCATGGTGTCCCTAAATTATCTTTCCTAGATTAAATATAATTGAAAATTAAAAACCCAGTTTGCCTTTTGGGCTAAACCAATCAAAATAATCACAGACATTTCTCCTTCAAGTGACACTCAAACAAATAGGATGGACTTCCCTAAGCTGAAACGTACTGCAACCATGTCAACATTCTTTTCTGTACCAAGAAAACGGAGTAAGTATAGTTCTAGTCTCAAGACTAATTATTTACTTTATTAGTTCCAACATGATCAGTGTTAGTACTGAACATATTTGCCAAATCTTACTCCTTGGAGTGAAATGAGAAAATTATGCTATCCAGACATGGAAATGTCCAACATACCTTCATTTGCTAATTACTATAATCAGGTCATCAACTCTTATCTTAACCAGCTAGCTTTTAACTTTTTAGAAAGGAAAATAATTAATTTAATTAAACAATAATTAATTTGTTTAAAAGTTCACTAATTTGTTAATCATTCTTCCCTCATTCAGACATTATTCATTGGATCTTTAGAATAAAACCAATTTAACATAACAAAATATCTAGAAAGTAACTATCACTTTAATGGACTTCAATAAATCCAAGTTAGTATATCAATGTTGTCAAACTCAAATAGAAATAGGGGCCACTAAACCTTCTGTAAGGATCCCTGCAGGCCCGTTATTGACTAAGAAAACCACTTATTTAACGTTATCACCATTCACCCAAATTTGCAGCTTTTCTAGAGGCTGTGAGAAAAGCTTGTTAAACTTTTCAAATTTATTTTTCTTTATAACGGTATTGTCATTGTATATGACAATATACAATTGTCATATTGTATATTGGTTTGCCTTAGGGACTACCTATAACACAACAGGGTTTAAAAATTAAGTAAAATTCTTACCACTTGGCTTAGGTCATATCCCCAAGGAAGAAAAAGGACTCCAGTGTTATATTTTTCCCAATGGGACAACATGAAGTTAAGCAAAACAATGCTCAGGAACAAGAACATCGTGTGCTCGGAAAGTCCCGGGGAGCCCCCTGGACTTGCACAAACAGAGAACCAAGAAATTGTGAAAAGGGAAGTAGCCCAGCTATCCAACCCATGGTCAAATAGCTCTCCCAGAGGACTACTGGACTGTGTTCTTCTAGCATGTTTCCCATCTATAGAATCTGTAAAGGAAACACAACAAAGAAATCAAAGACTTTAATGGAAGAAATATAACCCAATGCATTTTTTGTGGTCAATGCATGAAATATGTGTAATAACAAAGAAATAAGATGATGGGATCATAGCTCTAAAGCTGGAAGGGAACTCAGAAGTCACTGACTGTACCCCTTCATTTTTACAAGTGAGGAAACTGAGTCCCCAAAAGAGGTAGACAAGAGACTTGCTCAACACCATATAGGTAGTCAATGGCAGAGGTGGGAGTTGAACTTGGGTCAGAGACTCCAAGTTCAGCATTCTTACTACTGCACCATGCTGATGAATAAAGTCAATAACATACTGCACACAAAAACATAACTATCACTGACCACTCTCAAAAAAAAACCAAATTTTTCTACAAAGATTTTATTTATTGTATGCTAATACAAGTGTCCAGGTTAGTCAATTCATTAGAAATAACCATCTGTTTATTGGAAATAATTTACCCACTTGTTTATTGGTTTTCATATATCTATATCTAGATATAGATATAGATATAGATGTACAAAATCATACATATATCATATATCAATAGACCAGGTTCTCATTCTTGTGGGTTTATAGACTGAATTTAAATTGTGTTAAAGTCTAGAATGTGAAAACATCTATGTATTTGTTTCTAGCACAAATAAGCACTTATTTCTATATAAAAAATTAATCAGCTCATAAATAATCAAAATTAGTGTCACTTATTCTCATGAGGTTGTTCTGTAGTAACTAAAAGAATATGTGGCCCATGAGGGGCTTTGCCAAGTACCATCAATGAAAAAAAAAGATTGAAAACTAGACAATAGTTAACAAGCATTTATAAAATGCTTGCTATATGCTAAGCAGGCATCATTGTGCTAAGCACTGGGGATACATAAAAGGCAAAAAAAAAATCTCTACTGTAAAGGAGCATACATTCTAATCAAAGAGATAACATATAAATAATTAGGAATATGTACTGAATAGATGAAGATCACCTGATCTTATGTTCACTTTGCATCTGCTGATCTCCCTGGTTCCTACTCCTCAGAACAAGATGCCCCTCTCAGGATAAGCTCATTACCTCTAAACCCTCCACCATGCTGCTAATTTAAACATTGATTGACACCAACTGCCTCAGCTTCCTCTCTTCTCTGCCTCTGAAGGGCAGAGTACCAAATTCCTCCCGACACCTTCCTTTATAGAAAGCAGAAACTGGAATCTCAGATCACTCAACTTTGCATCTGTGTGCCCTCCACTCCACCGAACAAGCCACCCTCTGTTGTCCCATTCCCCCTCCTCACTTTTCTGCCTCCTTTTAGGTGTTGTCTCCCCCTTTAGAAACTCCTTGAGAACAGGGACTGCCTTTCTTTTTTATTAATTGTATCTCCAGCACTTAGCACAGTGCCTGGCTATTAGGTGCTTAACAAACATTTACTGGATTGGTTTATTGGACTGGATTGAAAGGGCAACTACCAGTGTAAGTAAAACGGCTGTCTGATTGAATTTTTCACTTTTCACCCCACTTTTCAAGGGTACTGATGGCAGAGACCATTTCATTTTTGTTTCTATCACCAGCACCTAGTATAATGCCTGGCATGAAGCAACAGCCATTTATTATGCACTTACTGTGTGCCAGGTGCTTAATAAATAAATATTTGTTCTGATAGCATCTGAATACAGACCTAAGCATATTATTTTTAATTTTCTTTCCCTTTTTCATTGGGGAAGGGGGTGTTGAGTTTTTTCCACAAAATGACTAATAAGGAAATATGTTTTACAAGATTGTACGTGTTTAGCCTATATAAGATTGCTTACTGTCTCAGAGAAGGGGGAAGGGAAGGAGAGAAGTATAAAATTTGGAACTCAAAACCTTAAAAAAAAATACCAAATGCTAAAAGTTGTTTTTACATGTAACTGGGGGGAAATAAAATATCATTTTAAAAATCTATTGAAATGAATTGAGCACATTTTCAGTAATACTATTTCCTCAGATACCCCCAGATAAATACAGTTCCATGTTCTAAAGCTAAAATGAACCTAAAACAAAAACAAAACAAAAAACAAAAAGACCAGAATGGAAAATAATCAGACCAAATATTAATAATGCTGCCAATAAAATGTATGCTAACTTTAGTTTGCTCCACTATGATTTTATGATGATTTTTCTGTGATATAATTGATTGATATATATTTTAAAATGTTGTATAGGGCAGGTGGTCTACCCATTAGGTTAATTATACTCTGGCTGCTAAATCAAGCAGGGTAAGCTAGTGAAAACTTTTTTTTAATATTTTTATAGTGAAAACTTCTATGGGCCAACTAATTTTAAGAAATAATTTTCAAGGCTTCATGATTGGCAAATGCTGAGTGGACTACCACAAAATCAAAAACCATTATACAATACTAAAGAATAATATACCTTCTTAGCACAGCTAAAGGTAGGGGACAGAAGGCGACTTACTAATTAGGAGAATTGATAAACCATCTGAACTCAGTGAAAGATAAGTAAGTAACCCAGCTAGTCACACAATCCTCATGGAACAGAAAAATAACAAGAACCACAACCCTTTTAACCTGAGAGAAGAATTCGAGTGGGAGGGGGAGATGAAAACACACCCAAATAACTATAATGTGAAACAGAAGATAAGTTGGACTTGATCCCTCCTCACTTCCAAAAATAAATAAATATGATTATCATATGATTCCACAAGAATAAGAGATGTTCTATAGCTATACAAATTTTGAGGAAGAAAAGATCGTTTCTCACTCAACAGATCCTTCATGAAGGAGGTAACCTTGAAACTGGGCTTTGAAACAGAGAAAAAAGTAAAGAGAGAAAATTCTAGACAATTCTAGACAAATCAATTCTAGACATTCTAGACAAATCAATCAATAAACATTTGTTGTTATTCAGTAGTTTTTCAGTCCTGTCTGACTCTTCTTAACCCCATATGGGGTTTTCTTGGCAAAAATACTACAGTGGATTGCCATTTCCTTCTCCAGCTCATTTTACAGATGAGGAAACTGAAGCAAAGTGACTGGCCCAGGGTCATACGGCTAATAAGTATCTGAGGCTCGATTTGAATTCACAAAGATGAGTCTTCCTATCTCCAGGAGAGGAACTCCAGGCACTCTATCCACTGCACCACCTAGGTGCCCTAAATAATAACATTTATTAAGTATCTAATATGTACCAAGAGCTGTGTTAAGCACAGGAATAACATGAGTAAAGATACAATGGTAGAGAAGCTCTGGACATGGACATATGAGAGACAACTGGTAATTTAATATGTTTGGAGTCAATCATTTGTCCATAGACTGATCCATGGAAAATGTTTATCTATCTGAAAATTTTTACTAACAAAGACACTTGTTAAAACCCAGAAATTCAAACTCTGAACCACCCCAACCCATTACCCTGAACATACAGAAGGTAAAGTGGTCCTTGATAAAGACGTTTTAACTGGTCAGCTGTAGTAGAATAAGATGAAGATAAATGGCAGAGTTTGGATTGGGAAACCCTGACATCAAGTACTTGGAGGGGTATATTTTGCACTAAGGCGATAAAGGAAGAGTGGCACCATATTATGGAAAGACTTGAATCCTTGGCTCATGAAATCTAGCTTTATTTAGCAGAAAATAGAGGAGGATTTTTTAGCAGATGAGTCAACATTTGTGTGCATAAGGAATATTATTAGTTTGGAAGTAATATGAAGAATAGATTGAAAGAGAAAGACAGTCACTAGCTAAAACTTTAGCTAATACCTTAACATGAATTTGAAACAAAAAAGGAGTACCTCGGAGATGATCTAGTCCAACGTATACATTTTACAGATAAGTAAACTGAGTCCCAGAGAAGTGAAATAACTTGTCTCATATCACAGCTTTTTCATGACAGAGTTGGAACTAGAACTCCCATCTAATTATTTGGTCACCAATTAAAAGAACATAATTAAAACAAAACATATAGTCCTTGAGGTGAAAGCAAGATGGCAGGTGAATGCCAAATGGAGAAAATAGAAGTAGATAAGAACGATGGAAAGATGTCAAAGGAATTCTGAGTACTTCCTCAGCTTACAAAGGTCAGTCCTAACTATGCCGCTTAAATCAGAGGTTATCGGCTGTGAAGTGAGAACTGTCAACTCAAGTCAAAATAATTCTTGTTTACTACATCACAATTGGCCACCGAGTAACTAATTGTATAATCACAAATACAACTATAACAGTTTCTGATAAAATACAAATACATCTTTACATATTTTGTTTTCATGCAAATATCTGTAATATTGAATGGAGTGGAGAAAGAAATGCTGAACAGTAAAATCATTCCTAAGTCCTGTTGTTTTGAGCTATCCAAGTGACTATCATAAAAATCCAGCTGGTGGTTTTTAATGCCAATCTGAGAATCCTGCCATAATGCCTTTTGAGGTTTAACTTAAAATAAGTTATGCATGTTGTAATACATTTGTTCCTTACAAGACAAGATTTACAAAATGGGATTTTTTTGTGTGTGTGTTCAATATACCTCTGGTTATTGGAAAACTGTAGTGGTAAAAGGAAGATCTCCTAATTAAAACACAGACCTAATCGACAAAGCATCTTGAACGTGGTAAACAGGAAAGAAAATGAAGGACCAAGGAACTGGGGAGTCTACAAGAATTTTTCATTAAAAAAAAAAAAAACAAAACTGTACACGATTGCCAACAATTCTGTGGTTTAAGCTGCTTTCAGAAGGAGGAATGTGATAATAGCTCCTGGGTGGAATAATTTTTTGGCTAGACTTGTTTAAATCTGAGCCTAAAACTTTGAGGGAACAGCTTGGACTGCATTTATAATTTTTTTAAAGTGCTATGCATTTCATCCTACTGTGGTCTTGCCAGACACTGGGCCTTTAGGGAGTCTGGCACCAGATTGTACACCAGCAAAGTGAACTCTCATACACTAGTTGTTATGAGCTGCACAACTCCACAATCAGCATTAATAAGTGTGTGCCATG